GGCTGCTGCGGTGCGGCAGGGGCCATGGTTGCGATCGGCCGAGCCACGTGGCTCCGAAGACGCGACATCTCCTGACCCTGACCGTGTTCGCTCACCGCCGGAGGAGGTGCTGTCCGACGTACGGACGCCGGTGCTCTGTGACGCTGCTCGATGTTGCGGATGCCGAGTGTGGGACCGTTGCGGACAACCACGGCTCGAATACGTCCAGCAGTAATCCTGCGCGCAAACAAAAAACAAAATCGATGACATTGTCCACAACGGAGCCGTGCTGCGGCAGAAGCAGCAGCACGGGAAGGATGTTGTTGTTGTTTGTCTTGCATCCCACTGGGATTTTTGCACACAGCGTTGGTGTACGGTGTTTTTTCTGCAATATTTTTGCTGACTTTTCTTGGATTTTCTGTTTGCACTCAGTCACATATTCACTTTAAGATGTTTTTTTGTTCATGTTTTTGTTTTTTTGTTTGTTGCTATTGCACCCGATTCAAGAGCCGAATGGCTCACAGGGCTATACCGAATACTTGAACTTGATGTCCACGCTGTTGAGGCGTGGATCTTTGTTGCCATTGTTCTGCTTTGAGTGCCAGATGTATCTGTCGAGCTCTTTTAAAGTGAAATGTTGGAAATGTACGCCTTGGCCACTTGATAGTGAATTAAATTACAACCCCTTTATGGGTGAAAGCACGGGTAGACTGTGATCAGGAAGCAGTGTGGTCTTCATTTGGTAATTTTTGTAAAAAAAATTAACGTGAAGTGTTAGCGAGATAACAAAAATAACTTCAACGTGAAGTTACTTTTCAAAGTGAAGTTATTTTTTAGCGAGATAACAAAAATAAGGTCATGAAAGAAAAGTGCAGCCCTGCATTTCTCATCGCACGACTCTTGAGGGAAAGGCCTCCACTGGTAGGAGCTCTAGAAAATCCTTACAGAGGGTGTTTGGTCTACTCTTCCACGCTGGCAGTCCATCCTGAAAGGGCTGGGAGTATTCCCACTTTACCGAGCCACGAGCCACCTGCCCATTGACTAATTGCGGCGAACCCATTCATGTTTCTGGGTGAACAGAGGAGCCGAGGGATTTGGAAACCGTGCACCAGCGGGCAGCCCCTCTGGATTGTCCAACGTGTTAATCATTTGGGGCGATTTTGGACGATTTTTTTACCCCCCCCCCCCCCTCTCGTTACACGGGGCACAAAAAGTCAGACCCCCCCTCAAATATGACGTCACAAAGCTCTGCCCCTCCCCCCCCCTCCAAACCATATTTCCATTTTGAAAATAAAACATGCTTCAAATCACTTTAAACAATTGTCATTGTAGTGCGTATTTAATGTGGCGCTGCACTCTGATGTCGTAGGAAAAACATTTATTAAAAAGTATATTTAATTAAGTAGAACGTGTTGTCTATATTTATTTAAAGTTGCGCATATTGATGTGACGTCACAAATGTCTGACCCCCCCCCCCCTAGGTGCGTGACGTCATTTATGGACGGCCCCTTACACCACTGGCATCATCCCAATGTATTATTCTAAGACGTTGTTGACGTAAGTAAAATACGAAATTAAGTCAGCAAACTGTTAAGCCTTGCCAATTTCCCAAAGTTGGTGACGGTTTCCCGAAGCCAGATAGATGCTCTACTGTTAGTCTCGGAGGTCATTTGAGATGCCATTGTCCGGGACACTCGAAGCCCGTGCTCTGTCCAAACACAACACTGAGCACGTGTCGAAAACTGACCCCAGCACTACAGTATGCGGCAAAGTCACTGCTGGCAGAGTGCCCGTGTAACTTTACACGGCGAAAAACACAGAGACAATGGCACGTAGTGTGAATTATGGAAGCTGCGATGATGACTTGGAGACAACGTGAACACAATATTTAACATAACACGCCACGGCGGTCATCGTCGTTTTCTCTCCCCAGTATCGGACACGTGACAACACAGGCCTAGTCGGTGTCCCCGGCAGTGTTCTCCATCACGGTGCACGGCAGTTTGAGGAGCCCACAGACCAAGAGATGGCCCCATGGTCTTGTTTCTCCACAGCCACGGTCGCGTGAGAGGCCCGCTAGAGTAGCGCCACTTCCCCCCACGTGGACTGCCGAGGTGCAGATTGCAACGGTGCGGAACAGAGGTCGCAACCGGGTACCCGATACCCGTACCCTACCCGATACCCGGCTACCCGTACCCGGCCGGGTACGGGTACCCGTTTGCGACCCTGGTGCGGCCGGGTACGGGTAGACCGTGAGTCACTGGTGAGTAACTGTTTGTCACTCATTTCCCAACGTCTTGTCTCTTCTCACAATTCAAGTTCCTAGAATCAACCCACCCGCGCCTGCAACATTGCTTCATCCCAGAGGTCGCAATCAGGTACCCGATACCCGTACCCTACCAGTACCCGGCCGGGTACGGGTAGGGTACGGGTACCCGTTTGCGACCCTGGTGCGGCCGGGTACGGGTAAGGAATCAAAACCCGTTTGCGACTTCTGGTGCTGAAGCAGACATCTAAACATGTTTTCGCGTGTCTCCGTCGCACGCAATGAAGGGTGAGGTGAACTCATCGAATATGACAAATTGTTTCAGTCGTCGAGTGGTTTTACAATTCGGAAAAATGAAGTCATCCGTTTAATCTTTTTTGCTGTCATACCGACTGCTCCACGTCAATCACAATACTCTTTAATCAGCTGAGTTGATGGGGGGAAAACACATCTACACTCGTACTCCTGCCCATGTCCTTGTGCAATTACATTCCTTCTGTCTACCACTCCTGTTTGGTTATCAAAGTTTGGCTCCATCTTTTGGCATGTTCCTGCCTGGAATGCCACCACCAATCTGTATCCACTACACCCTGAGAGTATTTTATTGCAGTGATTTAATGTCCCCCCCCCCCTCCCACGTTCATTTTGCTTGCATTGACAACGATGATGATGCGAAATATTATGGAATGCCGTCCAGTGCCACGTGTTTGCGTCTCTCTGCCTGGACAAATGATTCCAGGCATGTGTCCTCCCTTCAGCGTCCTCTGCATAGTTGTGTGATTTTGTAATCGTTATTGATTTGTATCAGACACCTTGCTAATGAAGAGTGGAATGCCATGGCCTAAAAAGTTACACTGCCATAAATGGACTCCCACAGCAGACAGATCCTACGTTCCTGTTACCAATCAGCAGACCGGCATAAATGGTGAAGTATGTTAATTCGCACCCAATTAACAATCACCAAGCATGCTTTAACAGTTGAGGTGCAGCAATGAATCAATTAATTTATACGATGTTCTAAGCGAATTATTCACAAATCAAATCCCAATGTTTTGGAAGCTACATATTTGTTTTATGTTGTTCTTGTATTTAATGTATTCATGTGGCCGGTGCGGCTGCGAGTGGCCACTACATTCCCTACAATAAAAACTATATGATGCAAATAAATCGGGACCCTGAATCGCTCCATTGATGTTGCAAAATAGAAATATTATCCACCAGGGTTGTCCAAACTTGCTGACCCTAAAAGAGTTTTTTTTGGGGGTTAGATCGTGTAAATATGAATGTGTCGTTAAACCCGCCACCACCCGATATAGCAATTGGTAAGGTTTGCCACGTAAAACATTCCAATTCGTTACGAGTACAGCACACCGGTGTGTTGGAGAGTAAACCCACACCATTTGAAATTCGAGTACGACGTTTCGCCAGTAATTACAACTAGCATCATCAGGCGACAGTCAGATTTGTGGGGAAATCGTCCTGTTTCATTCTTAACGAGAGAGATAAATGTGACGTAGTCACTTTGGGAGGTGCGAAGGCCGCGGGGGGGGGGGGGGTTAATGAATGCATTTCAATAAAAGCGTGTATACATTACCATACTCTTAGTTCTTTCGGCAAAGTCACGTAGGTAAAAAATGAAATTAAAATTAATAAAAATAAAAACAATAATAAATCACGACGTTTCGGAGGCAACGTCGTGATTTATTTTTGTTTTTATTTTTATTAATTTTAATTTCATTTTTTACCGACGTGACTTTACCGAAAGGACTAAGAGTATGAATCCGTGCAGTCACGAAAGCTTCAAATCTAGAATTATACGTTACCAGTTACTGTAGGTTATTCATAGGATCATCATCGTACATAGTGCATCTATAGTATGCATGCACACTGTGCTTGGACATCCTGCCGTTTTTTTGTGCAGGAAAATCGCAGTATCTGTTGTTGTCTGCTAACAGTTCGTCACCATCGACGTACGGTGACCTGTATAGGCATGCAGTTAAACGGTGTATTTACTTGATGATTCGCTTCCAAGCAGCATTAAGCCTGTAGCTATCCGAACGGTCAAACATATTTTTTTTATTTCTCTCAATTTCTATAGATTCTCTATTTAATCTTGGCCAGTAGGAACTAGTTTTGCACAGAACTTCAACATAATAAAAATGTCAACAATCATTGAATCACATACCAGAATCTTCAAGACACACACCTCGTGGGACGGGTCATGCGGCCACTTCGCTCGCGCTGGTTAGCAGCGGCGTTTTGAAATCAGAAATCTCTGGGAGCGCCCTGAGAGTACTCGGTAATGGTTCCGCTGCCAGTAACGAGGGCCCTGGAGTCAACTCCAACTACCGCAAATTTGCATGATTCTTCTCCTACATCCAGTTTTCTAAATGAAGTTGTATTGGAAATTTAGAAATTAGCTGTGTTTGTATCGAACCGCAACTGAAACTGCCGCAGGAGTCGTCGTGATTCATGAGCCGCGGTTTGGCCAACCCTGCTGCCATACAGCGTTAAATGTCACCAGAAAACAGGTACTGTAGGAAGGCGGTTGATCCTGTGTATCCGACACACCAGTGTGTGTGTGTGCGTGCGTAAAAGTGGATTAGCGCACATTTACTTACACAGCTGTGTGTAAACGGAGAGCGTAGTTACCACATTAGAGATTTTTAAAAAAGACAGACTCCCACACGTGTGTGAAATATGACAAAATAAAATATATTTATTATTTAAAACCTGTAATGTAATATCTGCCCAGGTGTGAAAAACAATCTCTGTATATAAAAGCATGCACCAGTGTTTTATGTTTGACTCGAATTCACATGTCAGTTGAGAAAACCCAAGGTATACCGTATTCTCTGGACTATACGGCCAGGTATTCGCCTGGCATATCAAAGCGAACATTTGGGGGGTTGTGCGTCTTATAATTCGGTAGGCGCGTGTGAGTGACCAAATGAGTGTAACGATATTAACAGCAGGCACACAGTTGGAGTGTGTCTTCATTTTAGGGGCGACATTATCCAGGGAATACGGTATTTTGCAAAGCGTGGTCATAAAAAGTTGACAATCGACGATAAAACGATGTCTTGCAATTAAGCTCGTCCTTTAAAAATACGTCTGCTCATAAATTAATATATGACAATGCGATATAGCGTCAGGGGTAATTATAATATAGCCTAGCACCTCATCAGACGTTGTTGACCATGCCTTGTGTGTAAATGTATATTGGTAGGTTATCGATACGTATTGTGTCGAATACAAAGCAAATATTACAATTAACGCTTTTTGCTTGCCGTACATTTATTAATTACGATTTGTCTCGGGGTAGAGGTGAGGATTGATCGCTCACACACGTTGGCCCCGAATAGGTAGGTACAGCAAGTAGGTTATTAAATTGTGCAGATCTTTGTCAATTGTTTTACCCAAGACTCGAATTATCGATGGATATTTAACGGGTTCGTGTTCAGGTCGGAGTAGACACGTGACTAGAAGCCACATCCATGGCGAGAGTATACTGGATGTTGTGTGCAGTGTGTAGAATTATTTTCTGTCCACTGACGCAAACAGACCCGGCTCAAATTAACTGCACTACACCTTTTGATGGTCCCCACCTGCACTAACCACGACTGGCCAGCGTGGTGAAGTATGGTCAAATGATCCCCCTTAAATGGCAAGGTGTGGGGGAAGGCTGCCATCCAGCAGTGGATGACAAAGGGATGGGCATTTTTTTCTCTCCAGGTGCTGCGGTTTCATATGCAACACATACCAAGTCAACGTGGATTCTCGCCTGGTTTTGAATGATGATAAAACATTGGGACTTGTAACTGAATTTGGGCAAAAATACCAAATAGACCCTCCCGAAGAAGTCGTTAGATTATAATTTACATTTAAAAGCCTTGAGAATAAGTTAAGTCTTTCCTAGATTGTTTTTTTACCGTATTCTCCGGATAATACAAAATTTTCCACATGCGTTTATAATTCAGTAAGTGTTTGTGTGCGTGCCGTGATTGGTAAAGTTTGATTGACACCCGGGCACAAGAATAAACTATTTAAACGAAACTATTTTTATTTAACCAGATAAGGCCCACTGAGCTATATAGCTCTTTTTCAGAAGCGATCTGGCCACAAATGATAGCTCTACAAAGTGGCCTATTACGTGGACATTTATCGCAACTAAATGCTGCAAACGCAGGTTTCTAAATGTGGAGGGGAAACCCGGACGACCCGGAGAAAAATCCACGCGACCACGGGGAGAGAGACACCGCAAGCTCGAAATATACAGCAGCAGGCGTCACGTTTGGGATCTAACCCACGACCTCCTGTATACCCGGCGAGGTAGTTAACATCTCGTCACCGTGGCACCCCTTCTTGTTTTTGGTGAGTTTTCCTTTCGGGAACGTGTTTTAATTCGAAGAATACGGTATTAGTATTGTCAATGGTGTACTGGGAATGGGTGGTTATTGAACGCTGTTACAGCATTTCCGTTGGACAAACATTTGCGCATGCGGCGTCACTAACACAACACAGGCACTGACGCAAATGAGCGAAGGTCCTTTCAATTAATCCTCATTATTCGGCTTTGGAGCGAGCAAACCCTTTGTAAACAACATTCTGACAGTTGCACTCATTACCTCGTATTATGACCGGATAACCTCGCGAATACGCCGGATCTCGTTAAATCTCGGAAGCGATGCCTCGACAATTCTTGGATGGGTGATCAATAATGAAAAAACGGATGTTCTCGGTTGCCTCAGGTCTATGTTGTCAGCAGATGACGGTGCATAAAACCCCACTGTTGTGCTGTACCATGTATGCTCCAACGTAAAAAGTCCCCACCTTCCCCAACCCGCACTAAAGTGGTGAAGTATGGTCAAAAAACCACCACGCTAAATCCAGCAGTAGATTGTCATGATTGCTGCTGTATCAGTAAGACGCCTTGTGTCGATAGGCACACGGCGTGGTGTTAAACACACAAGCACACTGCCGTACAAATTGGCGTGAAATTCTTCGACGTGAGCATGCGGCGATCGGAGGACACAGGACAATATCCCAGCTAGTTGTAAAAAAAAAAGACGAAGCACCACTTTGCGGGTAAGCACTGATGCCAGACTGAACTCGATCGTGATTTAAGTCGTGACGTGAACGGCCCTGTGACTTTTTTTTAGTTCGTTCATCAGCCAACCCGCAGATGAAAAAAAGCAACATCGTTTACGCAGATAAAGCAACATCAGCCGTCAGTCGCAACGAGATGGACATTTAAACACAAGCAATCGCGCGATAACAGGGCCAAAAGTCCATCGCAGTTCCACGCTGTACAAATAATTTATCACGCTTCCCACGTGTGCAGTTGCTTTGAACTCGAGTCCGGCCAATGGTTTGGCTTTACAAAGGTTTATTATTGTTGTTTTTCCCACCACAATCATCACAATGATCATTATAATGTTTGACCAATGCCTCTCACACCAACGACTCGAGAGCGACGACCGTGTCCGAGTCTTGGCTGTGCATGGAGCTGAGCCCCGTGTCCGAATCGTCGCCATCGACGCTCGCAAACTCCTTGCCGCCGACAGCGACGTGAAGAGGAGGACACCGCGACGACGGCATCTGCCTCCTGTGCGTGGAGGTTGTGGAGGCACATCCTACGTCCTCCTCCTCCTGCCCCAGCTGCTGCTGCACGCCCATCCTCTCGATATTCTTCACGAGCCTCTCGAACTCGCGTTGCATCGTCCGCAGCGTCCGCTCGCTCCTCGCGAGCTCGCCCGCCGCCGCCTGCGCCTCCACGTCCATCCTGAAGCCGACGTAGGCACACGCGCCCAACTCGCTCTTCAGCCTCTCGGCGGCCTCGAAATCCACGTGGTGGGAATCGGCGGTGGTCTCATCCGCGTCCGGCGAGAGTTTGTACGCCGCCACCGCCGCCGTCGCCTCCTCCTCCACCTCCTCGTCCGCTATCGGCGAGTCCCTGGCCGAGGCTGCACGGCTCCCTCCTGTTGTGCGCCGATTGCGTTCCAGCTCCAGACTCAGGCGCTCGATCGCGTTCTCGCGTGCGCGCAGCTGTTCGTGGAGGGACAGAACCTCGCCGCACACGCGCGCGTACTCCTCGAAATCCTCCCACGGACACGAGTCAAAATCTCCTCCTCCACCACCACCACCTCCACCACCTTCTCCTTCCATCCCCCCTCCTGATGCTGCTGCTGCTGCGTGCTCGTGCCCGTACCCGAGCGCGTAAGCGTCGTGCACGTAGTTGGCCCCGTCTTTGCGCACGCGGTCCGAGTGAGTCCTCGCCTCGTACTCCTCGATCTCGGCGTCCAGCTGGCACAGCCGCTGGGTCTGCTGCCGGACGGTGTGGTCCTGCGAGATGACCACGTGCACCAGCGTCTCCAGGCGCTGGGCGAACGCTGGCAGCGGCGGGGACGGCGCGCACTGGCGAGACTCGAGGCCTCTCTTCATCCTCCTGGCCCTCTTCATCCTCCGCGTCATCTCCTTCTCGTGCTCGCCAAACTCGTCAGTCTCGTCCCCCTGCTTGTGCTGCTGCTGCTGCTTGTTGCGCTTCTGTCGCACCTCCTTCTTCTCGATCTCTGCCGCCACAGGCTCGTTCTCATCGTCAACATCCTCGGCATCATCAACGTCATCATCCTCGGCATCGTCTTCGTCTTCATCCTCCTCCTCCTCCTTCACGCCGTTGAGCGCGCTTAACTTGCGGAAGGCCTTGCGCACGATGCGACGCTGCAGTTCCGGAGACAGCGCCTCGATGAACTTGGCCGTGCTCCTCGGAGGCGGCTGCGGCTTCACTTTGCTCTGCACGAGTCTGGCCTCGGCGGCCCTGAGCGCCGCGCCCTGCACGAACGCGTCCTTCTTGACGAGCACGAAGCGCACCCACGACCTCTCGGCACCCCACGCCGTCCACAGGCGCAGCAGTTTGGTGCGTCCTGGCAGCACGCGCTCGTAGCCTCGCCACTTCTCCACCACGCCGTACGCGTCCGGGTGTCCCATCAGAGACTTACCGCCGCAGCCAGTGGTGCCCAAAGTCTTGCTGCTACTGCCGCTGCCGCTGTTGTTGCTGTTGTTTCTCCTCTGCTCCGCGAGGAGAGCCCTCACAACATCGGCGCACGTCGTCCTCCGCGTCATGCCAGACACCACCTTCTCTTGCTGGCAGACCCACACCGTGAGGATGCCAGCCGCCTGGCCCTTGGACCCCTTTGGAGGCTCCATCGTTGGCCGTGCGCATCAGAGCGCCATGGGGGGGTGGTGGCGGTAAGCGAGAGACGAGCGCACGGGTGGAAGGGGTCTGTTGATGCGTAGCGTTGGGGTCTCCCCCGGGGTTGTGGTTCGTAAGACCTGAGTTGAGCCCTCACAGCCCACTCTCTCCTCCCACCCTCCCACCCAACCACCACCACCACCACCTCCTCCTCCCTCCCACAAGAGTGGTCCACCTCCTCAGCGCGTTGTTTCACAGCATGAGTCAACCCACCTCATCCCCCACCGTTCCCTTCCGAGTCAAACTCGTCCTTTGTTTCACGGCCGAGTGAATCACCTGCCTTACTCCTACCTCCTCCTGCCGCGGCCGAGTGCACAGGTATCTCCCTCCCTGCAAGTGTGACTGCCCCCTGTGTCGTTGTGACTGCCCCCTGTGTCGTTGTGTGCGTGTTTCCCTCACCCTGCCTTAGTGCGGTGCGCGCTCAGGCGGTGACGCATTTAACGAGATAGTGAGAGAGGAGGGGTGGGTGGGGAGGAGGCTGCTTGGGCGAACGGTGGCTGCTGCTGCTGCTACTGGAATGAGAGGTGCCTCTCTCATGCCTGCCCCTTACCCCACCCCACCCCCCATAGCACCTACGATGAACACGGTTGGCTAGGTACGGTGCGAAAGAAGTTCCACGCCACACATATGCGCAGCGCATGGCATCGCACACTGCGCTAACATTGTGCTGCCCGTATTTTCCGGATTATAAGACGCTCGGGCAAAAGAAGGGAGAAAAGTAAGACGCACTTTGCATAACGTGTAACCCCCCGGTGTTTAATCACGTTATACACACAAATACCGGATTATAAGACGCACCCCCCCCCCCTTCCCACCTTCCCCAAAAACTTCAGTTCAAAATACACCTCCGATTAGCACGGATGGGCTACGTACGGTGCGAAAGAAGTTCACACACGCGGAAAACATGGTCGCAGAACTAACTCGCGCTCCGTGACTCGCCAATAGCCGCTACGACAACTACGGGGGTCGAACAAAAAGAAGAGAACGCATCGCTTAGCATTATTAGATTATTTGGTCTATTTATAGGCACAAAGTAAGATCACAACGGTGACGTGCCAAACAGTGGACACATTGTTGTTGCTGGCCGTCCATTGAAATGCGCTAAGGCGTGTTAAACCAAGGAGGGGGATGTGGGGAGGAGTAAAAGGAGACACGTTTCCGTTTTTATTTTGCTTGTGCCGTGCTGTTTTGTTGTTAAGTGCCTTCGCCTTGTCACATTGTGCTGCTTGTCAGACGTCGTGGGTGTGAGCGTTGCGTGTCTTCTGTGTCTTGCAAATGCCAAGCGCGGCTCTACTTATTTATTTAGTATTATTGCGTTGCTTCTCCGCTCATTCCGGTCTTTATTACATTTTTTTCTCTCTTTCAGCAATGCAGTATACAAAAAAGAGACAAAGGTACAGCCCTGCAATGTCTTGCTAGAGCTACTGCTGGCAGAAAGGGCGCCCTGCTAGAGGCAACTTTCACCATTACGCACCGGCACGACATCTCGGAAGAGGTGGTAGGCTTCCGCGCTTCGCACCACCACATCACACGTGGCCTGCACGACAGACTAACGAACCAACTGCGGTCTACCCACTTATACGGCTGCGAGGACAAAGGCGGGGAGATTTGAAGAAGTTTGCTGACTACACTATGAGACCTCCTTTACCAGTGGCAAAATATAGTAATAGGTTTTTACCCTTTCAACTGGTACAAAACTGACACCTTTATACAAGGCATCATGTTTGATGCCTTGTATATCATTCATTATCAGAGTTGTTTCTTTTTGTTTGCATTTTGACTGCTTGTGTTGTGGTTATTGCAAACATGATGCCTTGTATAAAGGTGTCAGTTTTGTACCAGTTGAAAGGGTAAAACCCTATTACTACCAAATTTTGCTGACTGTTTCAACTGCCGCGCCTTGAGATCGAAACGTACCGGCAACTTCTGTTTTCCAAATCCTGTGTGCTAATCATTAAACCCACTGCAGCTCGCACTCTTTGCAGCTAGCAATGTATATGGAAGAAAGCAATACTGGATACGCATTCATATTTTATGCAGGCCAGTCAGCCGAAACGTCGCATCTTCATTTCCTCTATGACAGTTAAGATCTCAAATTTCGTTTTTTTTATATCTAGCTATTCATTGTACGAGTTCACTGAAGCGTTACATTTTTGGCAAATTCACACGTCGTTGTGTGCGCGTAGAAGACACACGAGTAGATTTGTGTGTATGCCTTATGTCGATTCATATCTGACGAATTCACACCTGACGAATATTGCTTGTGTTGGGATCGAAACGTCGTGATTTGTTTTATTTTATTTATACCTACGTGACTTTACCGAAAAAAACAAATAGTAAAGATTTACAATATTTAACACCAGTCGCGTTTTTCCGCTTTAAAATGTGCCAGTCCCCAATAGCCGTAATCATAAAAATCAATTATTGTCTTTTACTATTGATTGTGTCGTGCAACCCCCCCCCCCCTCCAATGAGTTTTTGAATGCCCTCCCTGCCCGCCTCCACTCCCCTATAACGAAGGTCGTGCTACGAGGTTGCAGTCGACCCATTTTCGCAAGAAAGCATGGCTCTATGCCGAGCTTGGCAAAATCTGCACATTTGTGTGGGTGGATTATTGCGCGCGTGTGGACTCTAGTTTGGCTCTGTCATTGCCCGCCCCGCACCCCCCCCCCCCGCAACCCCCCCCCCCGCACCCCCCCCGCACCCCCAGAAGCCAGAGATGAAGTTGGAGCCCTGTGCCCCGTACGACTCTCGTCACACAAAAGTTGCATTGCACTTTTCTTCAGAGCATATATTTCGTGGGTATTCATCATGTAGCAGCATTATATTTAAAACATTATTTTAGAAATATTTGGTTATCCTGAACATTGTTTTGTTTTTAAAGAGGTTTATTCATGGGATGAAACTGGAGATCCTAGCAAAAATGCCCACGTACAAAATAGGTTCTGTTCCAGCAGTGGATTTACAAAGGTGCTGTCCATATACTCGTTGGGCTATTTGCTGTGGGACAACTCTCTCGACTACAGAACTTATCTTATCCACGGCCCTATTATCCGCGATTCCTATTAACAGTGGAACCTTTATCGTCCATTCTAGATTTAAAGCTTTCGTGACTGCAAGGATTCATACACTTAGGTTTGTCGGTAAAGTCACGTAGGTAACAAATAAAAAATAATAGAAATAATAATAGAAATAAAATAATAAATCACGACGTTTCAGAGGCAACACAAGTCTCCGTCATCAGGTGGGACCGTCACAGCTAGATTTACTGTAACCAGTGAGGCAAAATTCCAAGAGGCAAGCTCTTAAATAAGGGGGGAGGGGCTTATCTGAATGTGTTAGCCAATGAATGGAACGTGTTGGGGGGGAGGTGGGCGGGGGTTTGGACGATAAAGTAGTTTATCGTCCAAACATTTATGTTATTTGTGACGATTCACCATTTAACCCATAATTCACAGCTCAGCTGCTTCCTAATTCTCGACCTGCGGTTTATCCATTGGTAACCAATGCTGTAATTCATCCTATTATCCGTAAGACAAATGAATCCTACTTACTCACTGGTTATACACCATTAGTTTTTTACCCCGTGGAAAAGAGTAAACTCACAAAATAACCCCAGGGATTATAGGATTGGCGATTATTGCCGCCCCTATATCACTGCGGATAAGACGGTTCTGTATATTAGCCAGAGATGGTCAAATGCACGAATGGCAAGAGTGGATGTGGACCACGCTAAAATCCAGAACAGTAGAACACCAGACACAAATGATATCCATATTGATAATTTTGGTTTAACATTGTAGCCAACAGCCAACATCGGACAAACCCATGAATCATATTCCCAGAGTAATTATTGCCAGATAATATTGTATCATATTATTAAAAATGAAATGGTGTACTCTGTAATTTAAATTGTCCTGCATTGTCACTTTATAAATGACCGTGCAGAACATTTATAAAATGCTTTCATTTAATAGAAACACCAATTTACCGTGCAATGCGCAGGGTTTTGTTTCCTCTCTCTACATTCCTTAAACGCCCGCCCATATAGTAGTCTCTTCCATGTGGACCAATCTTCTTGATTGAAATACAAATTTAAAGTTGGCGAACGTTGCGCGCACCTGGGGACTGTTAGATGTGGAAGCCTGCACCGAATTGGGCTGGGCAAGCCTGCAGCGTGCCCATTTTTAAATCTCACCGTTTATTATTACAAGAAGAAAAGAAAACCCTAATCAAGCGCAAACGGGCAAAGCGCAACCAACGAGAGATGAGAGACCAAGAGAAGCAAATGAGCGGAGCGAGAAGGCAGCAGCGCTCTGTGATGCCGCATCACGGAGTGAAGAGGCCACGACTGGACGGACAGAATTGGGGGAAAGGAAGGCATGGAAGGACATGGGGGGGGGGGGGTTCCCAGCATTGGGAGGTCCACGGGCTGACAACTCTGGGGGCGGCACTATTCGGTTAATCTTCTTGGTTCTTTCGGTAAAGTCACGTAAAAGGGAAATAATAAAATAATAAAAAATAAAACATAATAAAATAATTCTCACGACGTTTCGGCCACAACGCAAGCAGCCGTCCTCAGGTGAAGACCAGGTCTGTCCCTTCTACGTGACTTTACCGAAATAACCAAGAAGATGAATCCCTGCAGTCACGAAAGCTTTAAATCGAAATTTATTCGGTTAATGTTAAGCAAACTTTAAACGATAACAATTATGCATCAAACAAGAGAGGAGGGGGGGCTGATCTTTTGGCAGGGAGGTGATGGGAGGGGGTGGGGGCTCAGCCCCCCCCCCACCCTGACGTTATGAGGGGCTGGGGAGGGGAGTCCTGATGCAATGCATTTGTATGGCAGGTAGCTGACCAGGAAGCACTGCACCTGTTGATGGAATTGGTGAGTCACATTACCAGAGTAAGCAGCACTGATGCTCTCACTCGATCTATTTCTGAACGTTGCTAGGCTGGCATGGAGTACGAATTGTCAGTGCCAAGGCACTAACAACTAGAGCACAAGGTAAGCCTGTCCATAAGAATAGTAAGTTTGCATACCGCCACTTATACCACAACATACACCCCACCGCACACAAAGACAAACATCCC